GTGGCGATGATGGAATGGTAATGATAAAGATGATGGTAATGATAAGAATGGTGATGATGATGAAAAAGAGATGATGGTCGTGATGATGGTTATAAATAATAATATCAATAATGACCATAACAACGATATGATAATAACACTGAACTATACATGGTAATGCTAATAACAATAAGTATGCGGTCAAAATCTAATGAGAACTGCAACACCAAATTATTTTCTCACCCAATTACATCATGATAATAAAAAAAACATACCAAGAAGTCGTCGTCATTCTGCACTCTGGCCTGGCCGTACATCCAGTTGGGTCCCTGGTGGTTCTTCAGCGCCCACACGGGTTCCAGAACCGAGGTCCCGTCCTTCTCGAAGCTGATGTAGACCATCAAGGAACCGAGAGATGGCCCCGAAGGATCGATGAAGGGCTCATACATGAAGTACCTGTTGGGAGACATTTGCGAGTCACCTCTGCGATCAAATGCTGGTGATTTTATGTTGTATTTTATCTAGGCCTCAAACATGGCAAGATGAAGTTTTTAGTAGAATTAACTTTGGACTGAGAATTAGAATACTATACACGTATGCTAGGTGTAAGAAAGTATGTATATGGAAATACTTCTTATTATACATGTATGTACAATGGCTATGATCACAGTTACCAGGTATTCTAGACCTCGAGCGATGAAAACAACAGTAGTAAAAGCAATAATACGCTAATAAAAGTAACAATGATAGTAACGACAACAAGAAAAATAACAATGATGGAAATAGAATCAAGATTAACAATGATAAAAGCGGTAACAGAAAAATGATAAAAAGGGTAAAAACAATAACGATAAAAATAATATCAACAACAACCATAAAAGAAATGTAACCAGCAATAGGAAAGGCACTGACCAGAAGGCGATGCACATGGGGTCCGACGATCCCTTGATGGTGGTGGACACGAACCAGGCCCGGTCACCCCCGCGCTGCACAGACCCCCGGGGGAGCGTCATGTAGAACCCTGTGGTCAGAAGACAAGGGGGAGGAAAGGGAGGATTATTTTTTGGTGGGGATCTGTTTCTCTCCCTGTTTTATTTCTCTGTCGTTTGTTGTTGCAGGATTATAAGTAATGGAGGATTGGGAATGGAGTGAAGCCATTTTGGGATTGAATATGTACACGGAATCGAGTATAAACGGATGTGTACACACACACAAACACACAGACATATATATATATATATATATATATATATATATATATATATATATAATATATATATATATATATATATATATATATATATATATATATATATATATATATATATATATATATATGTACACACACGCACACACACACACACACACACACACAACACACACACACACACACACACACACACACACACACACACACACACACAACACACACACACACACACACACACACACACACACACACACACACACACACACACACACACACACACACACACACATATATATATATATATATATATATATATATATATATGCACACACACACACACACACACACACACACACACACACACACACACACACACACATATATATATATATATATATATATATATATATATATATATATATGCACACACACACACACACACACACACACACACACACACACACACACACACACACACACACACACACACACACACACACATATATATATATATATTATATATAAATATATATATATATATATATATATATATATATATATATATGTATATATATATATATATATATATCACATACCACACACACACACACACACACAAAGCTTATAGATTATATGTCTTACATGTTAAAACTTCTACTCAACAAAGCGGTTCAAGTTATATACACGAATGCCCTTTACACCATGCTGGTTATAAGAGGAAGGGAAAAGCGGAACTAAACAGTAAGGATGTAGTTTTTAAAAAAGTTTGGGGTATTAGGCGGTGCGGTGCTTCTTTGTATTAAAGAAAACGGAAGTATAAAGCAACCTAAGGTAATACTGTTATATTCTCTTCTGTCTGCTTGAGGATTTTTGTTTTTTGTTTTTTTTAGGAGGGGAAATTGATTCATACTTTAAAATTCCACACGACAAAGTAGTTAACTGAAATAAAAGAAATAAGATGAACAAAGCAAAAGTAAAATGTGCAGCAATCTAATCTATGTGTATATATTATCTTACAGAAAAAAATATCATAATAAATAATGATAATAGTATTCTTTACCGCTATTATCGCTAGTATTTTCCGATTATCCTTACATAAACCAGTAAATTCACCACGTGCGTTTTTACTCCTTATTGAAAATTTAAAAGATGGCGTACATACTTCTTAGACTATAGGCGTGAATGAATTACCTAAGGAGATTACTCTGTGCCTTGTGATGTGCTTTTACCACAACTCTGAAGACCCATTTTGATTGTAAAATTTCTCTTTTTGTTTGTTTGATTTGTATCTGATTTTTGTTGTCTGCATTACTAATGTTGTACTTATGATATCTAATCTTACTAACTCATCGTGAATAAAAAAAATAAATAAATAAAATAAAGTCGAATGCTGTAAAAGATAAACAATGAAAAAAGAGTGAATAACAAAACAAAATAAAAAGCAACAACAACCAATAACAACAACAACAAAATCAAACAACAAATAACCAAAAAAAAACAAAAAAAAAACGTCATTCAGTCAAAGAAAGGGAACCAAAAGGGTCAGACTTGTGGTGGTGCGAGAACCAAGAAGGGAGCACTTGCCGCGGTCTTGCGCCGAGCTCTCGTGGGCCGCGGACCCTACGTCGGGAGACAAGCGTTAGTCCTGGAGGCCGAGGGCGGGGGAAAGGCGGGCGGGGATGGGCGGGGATGGGGGGATGGATGAAGGCGTGGGCGGGGATGGCGGGGGGGGATGGATGAAGGTGGGCGGGATGGGCGGGTTTGAGGGGGATGATGAAGGCTGGGCGGATTTTGAGGGATGAGGGATGGCGAGATGGGCGGAGTTGAGGATGAAAAGGGTGGGGATGAGCATTTTTTTTTTTTTTTTTTTTGATGCGGCGGGCGGATTTGAGGCCGTGGGCGGGATGGGCGGAGGCGGGGGCGGGAAGCCAAGAGGAACGTAAGGGGACACTAATGGGCGTGAAAGGGGTCGGGGGGTGGAGGGTGCCGTGGGCCTAGTCCGAGGGCGTGAGAAGGGGTGGCGGAAGGGCGTCGTCTGCCTGGCGTGGAAGGGGCAGGTGGGCGGAGAGATGCTGCATGGGTGCGTGGAGAGGAGGGAGGGACAAGGGGTGAGGGTAGTATGAGGCGAACGTAGGGGCGTGAATATGAAGGCATGGGCGGGCTTTCAGGGCGGGCCGGAAAGAGATCGCGAAACGTAGCATAAGAAAAAAGGGAAAAAAAAGAAAGAAAATGCAAGGGAAATGTGAAAAGGTAAGGTGCGACTTTGAATAATTGACGGTCGAAATTGCAGAATTTTTTAGGCTGGATATTCGGTTTACATTTATGTAGACTCTAAACATGTGTTTTTTAGTGCTTATGTAAATAAAAAAAAAAAAAAAAAAAAAAATACATGTCCAACAAAATATACAGATAATTTCAGTTTTACACAGAACAATAACTTTTTCCCTTGTTAAAGGTTTTTTGTTCTTTTTCTGTAAAACGCGCGCGAGTGTATTGAAGTCTATAATAATACACCCTCCTTTAACCATCTCCATAAAAAGACGAGATTTCTACAGATCACCGAATTACACGATAAAAAAAATCGTTTTTTTCTGAGCGCCTTTTCTGAATTTGGAATTTAGATTTCAGCCGCAAGATAATCTAATATGACAGCCTACTACAGCGAGAAAAAGGGGTAAACAGATTAAGAAACGGAAAGAGAGGAAGAAGGAAAAAGGGGAGAAACAGAGGTACATAGACAAACAGGTAGATAGATAGGCCTACAGAATAGGCATATAAGTACAAGGATAAACAGACAGATAGACAGATCAATCGATAATCAGGTAGACAGATACAGATAGGCAGACATTTAAGGATGAGAAACAAGCAACATACAAAGGTGACGAATGAGATCATGTTGGGGTATGTTGGGCACGAAATAAATGTACTCAGGTGGACTCTCGTGCAGGTACATTCGCGTATATAATTCTCATGATATCAACACATGACTAAAAAAATGAAAAATAAAAAATACAAATAAAAAATACAAAAGACAAACGGAAAGTAAACGAAAATTATCAACACCATAATAATTTGTTAACACATCAAGCAAAAAGTGTGAAAAATGTGGAACATGTATCACATGGCAAGAACTTAGGGAGGTGAAATACATGAATAGATAAATAAATAGGGATTTTTATCTTTCTAGCAACTGAGAATCTCGATAACAAACCGTAAAGAAGAAGAAGAAAAAAACAACATACAATTATATGCGAAAAATACATATTCAGGTCCTGGACCAAAAACTATAAATAAACATAAATAAATAAATAAAATAAATGAAAAAGAAAAAGAAAAGAAAAGATTAGGCATCTACTATCTATCCTCTGTGAACATCTCAGACCCTCGTACATTCCCGAAGAAGCTCCAAGCGCATAGGCCTACCTTGCGCCGTGCCGATGGTGTGGTCACGTGACGGAGCCCGATTGTCCGCAGCGACCGTCCGCACCCAGTCGATCTCGTCCGCGCGCTCCCTCGGGCCCGGGTTCGTCCATCCGCACTCGTCCACTTCGAAGGTGCAGTCGCCGTTGTTTCCGGCTGCCACTTGGGGTGCACCTTGGGTAGGGGGGGGAGGGAGGGAGGGAGGAGGGGTGTGATTGTCTTAAACCTTTTTTTTTTTTTAATGGATTTGTGTAATCTTGGTCAAAAGGAAGTAAGCATTTTTTTCTTTAGATACACACGAAAAAGGAAAAAATTTACTACCAAGAAAAAAAAAAAAAACATGCTACTACCAAGGAACAAAACATGCTATTACACTTACTCCTGTTAACATAAAAAGACAAACTTACTCGGACAAGCGCCCTGGATGATGGAAATGTCGTCGATAGCGATGTCCCCCAAGTTATTGGCGCCCACCACGCCCTCGAACACGATCTGAGACGAAGCGCAAGAACCAGTTATTCTTCTAACCGCGAAGGGGAATTCCATCGTGCTGTGATTATATTTACAGTGCACGGAAACTGTGACATCGGTGAGTATACCGTTAGCATGATCTTAAAGTAGACATAATACAGAGGGTGCTTGTAAGACAACATGAGTTGAGACGGACAAATGATACATATTTTGTGCGCTGGTTCGTTCATGCACATTACAAGGCACAGTCAGCAAGCAGGCATACAGAGAACTGCATCTCTTACTACTTGAAAGCATGGACAAAATACTTATTTGTAAGTGGAATGATAACTCCAAAGAGAATGAAAATACCCCTACCTGTGCAACTGATTCACATGGTTGAATCGTTTGGGTGTTGTTTTGATATCTAATACCTAGTTGTGATATGTTTCCGATCTCAATCAGTTTATATCTATCAGTTTATTTGTATGTATATCTTTCTATCTCACTATTAATGTATCTATCTATCTATGCAATATGTATTATTAGATATTTATAATTTTTCCCCATTTCTACCATTCCCCATTACACAGAATTTTCCGCATCTCCGCGCTTATGAATGAAATCCTAGATGCAGCAGTTACTCCGTGGCCTGCGCGCCTTGACTGTACCTTGAAGCTCGGCAGCTCAACAGAGTTTGGTGGTACCTTGAAGGGCGAAGGGGAGGCAATGGGTACCTGGCCTTGGTACCACGCATTCCCAGCCTCACCAGAGATCTGCCAGATAACCTTGTCTTCGTCGGTGTTCACGTCGAAGATGATGACCCTAAGGGAGCCGATGCCGTTGCCGAACATGTGTGTCCAGAAACGCATGCACAGGGGGCTGTCCGGGTCTGTTGGGAGGGGAGGGGAGGGGGTGGGTAGGGCAGTTGTTAGGTTGGCTGTCATGTTGACGGAAAGGTTTTGCGTGCATGTGAGAAAGCGGAACATCTTTCCCGAGTGACTTTCCTGTTTCCTAACCTGTCTTTCTCTCGTTTCTCCATTGACCCAAAAAAAAAAAAATCCCAAATGACTGTTTCTCTATCCTTCCTTCTCTTCCATTCTTCCCTTTCCCTTTTATTCCATCATTTCCCTCCCTTTTCCCACCGACGCACAAACCAACTCACTGGTGCCTTGGAACTCCTGGCTCATGAGTCGCGCCTTGTCTCCGGGCCTCCTCGGGTAGCTGGAGTCGATGAAGGCGTACCCTCCCATCATGCCGTTGTTGGCGAAGGAGGAGCGGTCCCTCGGCGCCCCGTCGAAGGGTTCAGGCTGCCGCGGCTCTGTGGGGGCGGGGGAAGGAGGGAGGGGGTATTAGACGGTGGCTGGCATTGGGTTACTGTGTGTAAATGTTCACGTATACTAAATATATGCACACACTTAACGCACTGTATGTCTGTCTGTCTATCTATCTAGCTGTCTATTCATCTATCTATCTATAAATATTTTTCATATATCTATCTATTCATCCACATATAAACACATCACCACACCCACACCACACACACTCACCGCACACCACCCACTACCCACCCCAGCCACCCACACATCGAAACCGAAGCCCCCTAACCTGCGTCCAGTCGAAGTCGTCCTTGGAGTCCTGCGTCCAGCCGCAGATGCCGCCCTCGAACGTGCAGAAGGCGCCGCACTCGCTCGAATCGGCGAAGGAGAGCTCGTCGATGGCGATGAAGCCCCGGAACCTCCTGCTCAGGTCGTTGCTGTCCACGGGGATGCCCTCGAAGATCACCTGGGGGAGGAGAGGGGTGTTGGTCGAGCTTATTTGTAGGTCTATGGCTCTATTTCAAGCATGTAGGCCTATTAATGTTATTTCCATGACTATTTTTGACTTTATTTTAAGTATGTATATTCTATTAGGATTATTTCCATGACGATTTTGATTTGTTTATCATTTGCTAAATAGGGACTTGAATATGGAATGAAAGGAGAAAATAGAGAATACAACAAAAATAGATTGAAGAAAAGAAAAACAAAATATAACCATGAATAACAGTACCCTCGTCTTCCCCAAAAAAGAAAGAAAGAAAGAAGAAAGATAGAAAAAAGAGAGAAGATAGAAAGGGAAGAAAATGAAAGATCGATAGAACGAAAGAAAAAAGAAAAAAATAAAGAAGACGAAAAAAATAAAGATATAAAGAAAAAAAAAAAAAAAAAGAAAAAAAAATAAATAAAAATAAAAATAAAATAAAGATAGAAAAGAAAGCAAAAAAAAAAAAATAAAAATGAAAATAAAAACAAAAAACAAAACAAGAAAAAAAAAAGAAGAAGAAGAAAAAAACGACCAAATCCCTTTCGACCCAAACCCACCGAGTGCCTCTGGTCGAAGGTGTAGACGACCTGGCCCTCCTTCCAGTCGCCCATGGTCATGTCGCGCGCCTCCCACAG